CACGTCTCATGGGCCTCCGAAAAAATATTCATTTAAAAAAATCTACGCCCTATGGATCTCCGAAAAATATTCATTTAAAAAATCCACGCACATGGGCCTCCGAAAAAATATTGCTTTAAAAAATTCACGCCTCAAGGATCTCCGAAAAAAATATTCCTTTAAAAAATACCGCCTCATAGGCCTCCGAAAATATTATTTCTTTAAAAAATCCAAGCCCTATGGACCTTCAAAAAAATATTCCTTTAAAAAATCCACGCCTTATGGGCCTCCGAAAATATTATTTCTTTAAAAAAAGTCCACTTTGGGTTACTCCATTTTTTTAATCCGCGCCTCATAGGTTTCCCTTAAAAAGTTATTAAAAAACTAGAGTTGGGTAGTTCCGGAACTAACTAGTTCATTGTAACAATTCCGAGAAAGGAACGATCGGAACTAGTTCCAGCTCTGTAATTAATATAGTTCCTTTTTCTGATCTCGTTCCTCTTTGATCTCCTTCTTTTGTCATTTCCTTTTTTCTCGTTCTTTTTTCTGAGCAAAGGAACTACATTAAGGAAATAGTTCCTTTTTAAAAAGGAACGAGAAAGATCGATCCGCTAAGTGAACTAGATTGCCCAACTCTAAAAAAACCGAATGAAAATTTCCGTAGGTTCCGACGTTTCTGTCGACATTATTTCATAATTTAAAATTGATTATTTTAATGTGGGCCGAAATCCCGGCGGTACTGCAATACCGGGCCAACCCGCGACAGAAGTGGAGCAAGCCCCTTGAACTTCCGTCAGATTCCAAAAATCAGTTTAACATTTGTTGTCCTCCGATGGAGGATCTATCAGATGTTAAGCTGATAAGAACAGATACTACACTTTGATCTTAGCCATAAGGCCGAGAAGCGATAACTAGACACTGATCGACATGAAAGTTATACGCTACAAAGAACACGAAGTGAATGAGAATTGGAATAGGAGTGCAAGGGAAGAGGAAAGGGGTTTAACAGTGATTGTGAGAATTTTATGTTTAAGGAAATACAAAACGATGATCTTAGAAGAACACACACACAGGTACCCGATAGCTTGGTGATCGTTAAAGGTCTTGCCCAATTTGTGTGTACTTCATCATCAATCAAACCACGGCAAGTGGGCTCCCTTTAAGGTTAATTTGTGTGTACACAAAGGGTAAACGAGCGGTGATTGTTTATTGGTACACACAAAGTGGGTAAGTACCATCGTTGATCACCACCTTATTAGCTACCTGAGTGCGACCATTAACGATCATCCCTTCCTTTGCTTATAAATAAGTCTGTAACACACACTTATATGGTCTTTACTATCCTCAATGCTCTTCTATATTTCAGTTACTTATTATAATTCGCACTCACTTCGTATTCGTTTGCAAAGTATAACCTTCATATCGACCTCTGTCTAGTTATCGCTTCTCGGCCTTATGGCTAAGATCAAAGTGTAGTATCTGTTCTTATCAGCTTAACATCTGATAGATCCTCCATCGGAGGACAACAAATGTTAAACTGATTTTTGGAATCTGACGAAGTTCAAGGGGCTTGCTCCACTTCTGTCGCGGGTTGGCCCGGTATTGCAGTACCGTCGGGATTTCGGCCCACACATAAAATAATAAATTTCAAGTACCACGAATAGATATTTCTCCAATGTGCTGCTATGTCTGGATATTTTAAGGGAACATATTTCAAAGCTCTGATAAGCGTGGATTTTTTATAGGGAATACTTTCCAAAAAGGCGTGGATTTTTTAAAGGAATATTTTTCAATAAGGCGTGGATTTTATAAAGAAATATTTTTCAATAAGGCGTGGATTTTATAAAGAAATATTTTTCAATAAGGCGTGGATTTTATAAAGAAATATTTTTCAATAAGGCGTGGATTTTATAAAGAAATATTTTCTTTAGGCTCTCTATTAGAAGTGGATTTGTTAAAGGAATATTTTTTTGGAGGCCCATTAGGCGTGGATTTGTTAAAGGAATATTAATTTGGAGGCTCATTAGGCGTGGATTTGCCTTTTATGCGAAAACATTCTACTTGTAGAAGGAGAGAAGGTCGTAAAATGTTTTCTATGGGAAGACCAATAGAAGATAATAAAATCTTATTATCCTATTGGGGGTGAAAGGGATTGGTGAGTATATGAAAACCCCAGTAGGAAAAATTAGCCATATATCAAAGTTTGGAGATATGGCGTTATCACTTTTTCTTGTTGGCGATCCTATTAAACATGAAGAGATTACTCAAAATCCATCAGTAAAATCGAATAAGGGATTTGTTTGTAGAATATTTTGTCCTTCTAACTCGTTTTCTTGTCCTTAATTTATTGAACCGTACTCCAATTATTACAAGATGCGATTTTTCTGCCTAGCAATGTTCTACAAAAATGTTGCTCAGAAGATTTTAAGTGGGGTTCTCAAAGACGAGAAATCGATATTTTAACGTTTACATGGTCTATTCTCAATTTTACCCGTTTCTTGTCACTAAAACCGTATATTTATGAATTTCAATAAATTCAGTATAGAATCCTTATTATGTAGAAGTATCGGATTCGTTCGAATTATTTTCTTAAAGCATATAGAGTTATGCCAAATATGTAAAAAATAAATTTCGAGGAAAAATAACCGGTTTCTAAATTTTGAACCGGGTATTCAGATAATAAAACCGGTTTCAATACCTTGTATGCATATCATTAGAAAGCTAGTGAACAAACGTGCTACGTTTATTATCGAAATACCCGGTTCAAAATTTTTAGAAATCCGGTTATTTTTTTACTCGAAATTAAATTTTTGACGAATTTGTCTTAATTATATTTATTTTTTGAAATTAATTCGGATCAATCCAACAGTTCTACATAATAAGGACTATATAGTATTCGCAATTCTACCCGTTTCTTGTTACTAAAACCGTATATGTATGAATATCCATAAATTCAGTATACAATGTAGAACCGCCGGATTCGTCCGAATTATTTTCTATAAACATATATAGTTATGCCAAATACATAAAAAAGTAAATTTCGAAGAAGACAAAACCGGGTTTTTAAATTTTTGAACCGGATACTAAGATAATAAAACCGGTTTCAATACCTTATATGCCTATCATTAGAAAGCTAAAAAAAACAAACGTGCTAAAAATAAATGTTGAGGAAAAAAGAACCGGTTTCCTAATTTTTGAACCGGATATTCAAATTATAAAACCGGTTTCAATGATATTATTTGCATATCATTAGAAAGCTAGTAAACAATCGTGCGAAATTTATTGAACCCGACTATGGTTGGTTTTATTATTTGAATATGCGATTCAAAATTTTTCGAAACCCGGTTCTTTTTTCTCGAAATTATGTAGAACTGTCGGAATAAATTCTGTATAGTATCCTTATTATGTAGAACTGTCGGATTCGTACGAATTATTTTCTTAAAACAAATATAGTTATGCCAAATACGTCAAATAAATAAATTTCGAAGAAGACAGAACCGGGTTTCTAAATTTTTGAACCGTATATTAAGATAATAAAACCGGTTTCAATACCTTATATGGATTAGAAAGCTAAAAAAACAAACGTGCTAAAAATAAATGTCGATGACAAAAGAACCGGTTTCATACTTTTTGAACCGGATATTCAGATTACAAAACCGGTTTCAATGATATTATTTGCATATCATTAGAAAGCTAGTAAACAATCGTGCTAAATTTATTGAACCGACCTATAATCGGTTTTATTATCTGAATATCCGGTTCAAAAAATTTTCCAAAACCGATTCTTTTTTCCTCGAAATTTATTTTTTGGCATATTTGGCATAAAACGACATTTACATAAGAATTTTTTACTTTTTACCTACTTTATAAGGATTTATTTGGCATATATTTAAAGGAATTGAGAATTTAAACCCACTGAGTTAACTAAATCCGGTATAATGTAAACGTACTATAATTATATATTTGTTTTTTGATAATAATTCGTACGAATCCGACAGTTCTTCATAATAAAGAATTTATACTGAATTTTTATTGAAACACATACACAAAGGGTTTTAGTACCGGGAAACGGGTAACATTGAGAAAAGGTCATCAAAACGTGTAAATATCGATTTCTCGTCTCGTGAGAACACTGCCTAAAATCCTATGGGCAACATTTTTGTCGAACATTGCGAGTCTGAAAAATAACATATTGTGTTAATTGGAGTGCGGTTCTGTAATAGGGTCAAGTGCAATAGAGCCAGCAAAAAATTAGCACATCATATCTCCGAAGTTTGACCTGTGGCAAATTTTTCCTTCTAGGGTTTTCATATACACACCAGGGTCTTTCATACCCAATAGGAAGTTTTCAAAGCCCAAACATGAGCATCATTTTGTCGCCTAGTGTTATAGGAGACCATAATGTCCTCGTACAGAATACCATTATAAAAAATCGGTTTTTTATAAATAAAAATATCGAGTTATTTTTTTAAATAATATTTATTTTGAAATATTAATATATTTTTGTTGTTTTTTTTATATAAATAAATAAAATTATATAAATTATGATAATTATTTTAAAATTATAGTGGACCACATGGTAATGTTGTGTGGGTGTGAGTTTCATCTTTATGTTTTGTATGTATATTTGTATAGAAACCATTTCCTGTCGAACCAGAATAATACTAGCAAAAAACTTAAAAATAGGGGGTTTTTATTTTGTTCGTTACGAAATTCAGACTCTTAAGAATCCAGCGATAATGAAATATCTAAGGATATATTCAAAACAAGGATCATCACATGGGGATCAAAAATAGGATTTTTAGAATGTGAATTTCATGTGGCAAAGAATTAGAAGACTTGGGGGACTTAAAAAATAAAGGTAATGCAGGGTAACTTAAAATTAAGGTAAAGGTGATTTTTGTTTTTAAATTTGTAAGCAAGGACTTGGCAGATAACTTAATTATTTGTTGTTGTTATGTTTTGTGTGTGTGTTTTTTTTTTTGTAAATATCATTAAACGATAGCCAGCAAGCGAAAACCTTACAAATCAGCCACCGACTTCCGGCGAACATATTTGGCAAAATAATCAGGACGCCAACATTTACACGAGCCAGGAATCAAGAACCAATCATAGTAGAGACGAACCTGGAAACAACCAATCTCATCGTGGCCATCACAGTGTTGATTAAAATCGGCATTATTGTGATTAGCCCCATCTGTGGCCACGCCAGCACGTTTCTGCAAATATTGTTGATAGGCTTGGAAATCTTGTACCGAAGGAGCTTGAGTTGTGGTCGAGGGTTGAGGTACAGTATCCTCAGCATTGGGATAAAAGATTTCCGCAACCAGTAGACTAACCCAACGTGGTGATGACAAACAGCCACCATCCAAATAATGGCATCTAGCCTGAATGCAGCGTGTAACTTCGATAGTTTGGGTGAAGTATCCTTCATAGGGAATTTGTACAACATAACGCCAAGAGCCTTGATAATTTTTGGCAAACACTGGAGTGGCATATTCTACTTTGGCCGGGCAGGGGGTGGGTGGTCCTTCATAACGTATGGGACCAATTTCTTCACGTCTCTCGGCCGTCAATGGGGATGCTGAGGGCGCCGAGTGCGAGTTGTCACCTTGCAGGGCTTTGTAAATCGAACAGAAACTGAAAGTAAAGGAAAGGGGGGAGAATTATTATTTGAAATTTATTCTTATAGAAGACTATTTGGTTCAATAGATCTCCTAAAGGTTAAGATTTGGTATTCTTATAATTGATCAAAAGGTATTCCTAAAAAAGAGAAAGAGATATTTTGGTATTTTATAAAAAAACCTTATGGACCTCTATTCTATAAAAAGAACATTTGGACCTTAGTCTTGTCCCAGAAAACCTATGGTCTTCCATAAGAAATCCTAAAGGCATTTCGGGATTCTGTAACAAGACTTCTATAAACAAAACTCTTGTTCGTCTATAAGAAATCTATCTGGTCTTCACTAAGACGACCTTTTAGTCATCTATAAACCAGTAAGGAAAGTAGTAAAGTCGGACTGGGCCGACTATATGATACCCTTCACCACTTTGGGTATATTTTACATATGTATCCTAACAGACGACGCGTTTTGTTATAAATCCATATCTGAGCCGATTTCAGGGAAACTTGCCAGAGACTAATTTATATAACATCAGTACGTTGTGTCAATCGGACTAGCTATGGACCTTTTCACGAAGCTAGCAACATCATTCTAGACTTAATTCAGTACCCTATACCAAAATTCGTGAAAATCGAAAGATATATAGGTCCTTTGGTGCATCAATTACCTTTAATCGGAGAAAATACAAATGGGAGCAATATCTAAATCTGAATCGATTTTCGAAACCTGGCAGACATCATTCTCGATTTTATTCATAACTCTGTACCATATTTCGTGCACATCAAAATATTTCCAGGGTCTTTAGTGGACTATTTACCTAAAATCGGGCGAAGCTATATATAGGAGCTATATCTAAATCTAAACCGATTTTCACGAAACTTTGCACACATCATTTTATACTTAATTTAGTACGCTGTGCCAAATTTCGTGCCAATCGAAAGATATATAGGGACTTTGGTACACAATTAACCTTAAATCGGACGAAGATATATATGGGAGCTATATCTAAATCTGAACCGATTTTCACGAAACTTGGCAAGCATCATTCTATACCTTATTCATTACGCTGTGCCAAATTTCGTGCAAGTCAAAAGATTTCCAAGGACTTTAGTAGACTATTTACCTAAAATCGGGCGAAGCTATATATGGGAGCTATATCTAAATCTGAACCGATTTTCTCAAAACTTTTCACACATCATTCTAGACTTAATCCAGTACACTATGCCAAAATTCGTGCAAATCAAAAGATTTCCAGGGACTTTAGTGGATCATTTAACTAAAATCGGGCGAAGCTATATATGGGAGCTATATCTAAATCTAAATCGATTTTCACGAAACTTTGCACATATCATTCTAGACTTAATTTAGAACGTAGTGCCAAATTTCGTGCAAATCGAAAGATATATAGGGACTTTGGTGCACCATTTACCTTAAATCTGACGAAGATATATAAGGGAGCTATATCTAAATCTGAATCGATTTTCGCGAAACTTTGCACACATCATTCGTGACCTTATTCATTAAGCTGTGCCAAATTTCGTGCAAATCGAAAGATATATAGGGACTTTGGTGCACCATTTACCTTTAATCGGACGAAAATATATATGGGAGCTATATCTAAATATGAACCGATTATTCCCAATTTCAATAGGGTTCGTCCTTGGGCCAAACAAATGAGCTGTGCCAAATTGCATGCAATTCGGATCATAAATGCGACCTGTACTTTGTTTACAATTTAACATGGACAGACGGACATGCATAAATCGACTTAGAAAGTATGCATTTTCTCAAAAGGAACCATGGGTCTATCTCGATTATTTTTGCCTGTTACAAACATATGCACAAAGACATAATACCCTGTACCACAGTGTGGTGTAGGGTATAAAAAATAATTAATGGATCTCTACTCTATAAAAAGGTCATTTGGACCTTGGTCTTCTAGTAGAAATGGTTTTCTACAAGAAAACATAAAGGCCTTCTATAAGAAACCCAAATGATCTTCTGGGCTTCCAAGGTCCAAATGGCTTTATGCTAATAGAAGTCTTGTAACAGAATCCCGAAAGGTTTTCTTATAGAAGACCAATAGAGATTCCAAGACGTTGGTGAGTATATGAAAACCGCAGAAGGAAAAATTCGCCACATGTCAAAGTTCGGAGATATGGCGTGATATTTTTGTTTTTGTTAGCAAACCTATTATACTTGAAGAGCTAACTTCATATCTTCATTTGTAGATATTTTTGGATATCAAATTTCTTCCGTAAAATCGAATAAGGTATTTGATTGTAGAACATTTTATCCTTCCTTTTCGTACTTAATTTTATGAACCGGGTTCCAATTATCACAAGATGTGATTTTTCATCCTAGCAATGTTCTATAAAAATGTTGCTCAGAAGATTTTAGATGGGGTCCTCAAAGATGACAAATCGATATTTTAAGGTTTAAATGGTCTATTCTCAATTTTACCCGTTTCTTGTCACTAAAACCGTATATGTATGAATTTCAATAAATTCAGTATACAGTCCTTATTATGTACAAATGTCAGATTCGTCCGAATTATTTTCTAAAAATATATAGAGTTACGCCAAATTCGCAAAAAAAGCGTGAAAAAAAGAATCGGTTTCCGAAAATTATTGAACCGGATATTCAGATAATAAAACCGGTTTCAATACCTTATATGCATATCATTAGAAAGCAAATAAACATGCTACAATTATTGAATCGAACTATTATCGGTTTTATTATCTGAAGAACCGGTTCAAACATTTTCGAAACCCGGTTCTTTTTTCCTCGAAATTATTTTTTCTTTGGCTTGTTTGACATAACTATATATGGCTATGCAAAAAACGTGAAAAAAGAATCGGTTTCCGAAAATTTTTGAACCGGATATTCATATAATAAAACCGGTTTCAATACCTTATATGCATATCATTAGAAAGCTAATAAACAAACGTGCTAAATTTATTGAATCGGGCTATTATCCGTTTTATTATCTGAATAACCGGTTCAAACATTTTCGAAACCCGGTTCTTTTTTCCTCGAAATTATTTTTTTCTTTATCTTTTTGACATAACTATATATGGCTATACGCAAAAAAGTGAAAAAAGAATCGGTTTCCGAAAAATATTGAACCGGATATTCAGATAATAAAATTGGTTTCAATACCTTATATGCATATCATTAGAAAGCTAATAAACAAACGTGCTAAATTTATTGAATCGGACTATTATCGGTTTTAGTATCTGAATAACCGGTTCAAACATTTTCGAAACCCGGTTCTTTTTTCCTCGAAATTATTTTTTTTCTTTGGCTTGTTTGACATAACTATATATGGCTATACGCAAAAAACGTGAAAAAAAGAATCGGTTTCCGAAAATTATTGAACCGGATATTCAGATAATAAAACCGGTTTCAAGAACTTATATGCATATCATTAAAAAGCTAGTAAACAAACGTGCTAAATTTATTGAATCGCACTATTATCGGTTTAATTATCTGAATAACCGGTTCAAACATTTTCGAAACCCGGTTTATTTTTCCTCGAAATTATTTTTTTTTCTTTGGCTTGTTTGACATAACTATATATGGCTATAGAAAATAATTCGGACGAATCCGATTGTTCTTCATAATAAAGAATTTATTGAAGCACATAGGGTTTTAGTATCCTGACACATTTAAAATTGAAAATAGACCATTTAAACGTATAAATATCGATTCCTCGTCTTTGAGGACCTCACCTAAGATCTTATGAGCAACATTTTTGTAGAACATCGCGAGGCTGAAAAATTGCATATTATGATAATTGTAATTTAAGGACGTAAAGGACACACAAGGAATCGAGTTCCTCAATCGATTTTGCTGAAGAAATGTAATCTGTAAACACCAAGATAAAAAATATATGTTCGGAGGCAAAAATTCTAATCACGCCATATCTCCGACCTGTGACCTACTTTATCTTGTGGGGTTTTCATATGCTCACCAAGGTCTTTCATTCCCAATAGGAATTTTCCACCCTCGAGATCATGACCTATATTTTGTTGCACAGTGCAATCGAAATCATTTAAAACGATGATCAAAGGACCGGCCAAATTGGTCCCAATAAGCGATAGTCGTTCTAAGAGGAATTACATCAAGAGGAGAACATTGTTAGGGACCTTGGGATATTGTCATTGTAAAATATTTTAACAGTATTTTCAATCTGTACGAATTATCTCCTTTGAACTTACATGCCACCACCATCACAGAATTTACGAGATTTTCGATCAGCATCGACTTTGGATTTTTGGGCCCGTTCCTCTTCATCAATAGCGGGATCAAAATAACCATAATTATGATTTTCATTGGTGGGTTCCAATTTGGGCGCCACTGCTTCACGTTTATTACGAACACCTCCACCATATTGCTGCTGATCTATGTTATTATTGTCGACCTGTTCGACAGGATCATCTCTTAGGATTTGGGTAACTTTGGGTAGGGTATCATCTGCTTGCAGTACCGGCAACGTTTTGGAGAGGAATTTCAAAGTGTGATTCCTAATCAATTCACTGAGGAGGACGAGGAAAATAAAAAAATAATTTATTAAAAATATTAAAAGATACTTTTTTTCCGAACTTACAATGGATAGGGTTCTCCCAGCACATTTTGTTTCATAGGATTTTTCGGGATTTGTCCCTTATTCAAATCGCCACAAATGTTATTTACCGATACGGCCACCTTTTTATTATTGGCCACATTTTTACAATCCACATTCACGTGGGTATAGGGTGGTGGTCTCACCTTGGGCGGTATGGCATTGGGTGACTCCACAAATGCATAATATCCTTCCGGCGGTTCTTCACCATAGTCACCCTGTTGTGTTGGCTGCTGGGGCAATGTGGGCTGTTGCTGCTGCTGGGCTGCCACCAGCGTGGAGAGCAATATGAAAGAGAGGATTTTCTGGAAGGGAGAAATAAAACAAATGTTAAAAAAAACAAGTAAGAAAGTCGTTAAGTTCGACGGTACCGAACTTCTAATAGCCTACACCATATGTTGCACATTCAAAATATCAAAAACCAGTCGATACCTTTATAGGAGTCTATGTCATTGTAAATTGTCTGTTGTTTTTTACTCTGAGATGATTAAATACTAAATTACAGACACACCTATTTGAAAACCCATTTTGAAATTTTTCGACCTATTTTGACAACCCAATCCGGAATTTACAGACACACCTATTAGAAAACCATGGACCTATTTTGACATTTTTCGGAGAAGAAAATCGTTTTCTACCGGGAATTCGGTATAACAAATTACCACCCAATCCGGAATCCTTAAAATACCGAATTAGAGCTTCATTGGTGGGATCAAAATATGGACCTATATTCAAAGTCTTCCATGATCTTGGAATAGAAAATTGTTTGTTGTTTTAGTGGGGAAATACGGCTAAAATCCAACAACCCGGAACACCAATTTACAGTCAGTTTGGTGGTGACTAAGTCCTTATAAATTCCGAAAATGGAGGAGGGATCTTTTTATGGAAACTATGTCAAAATATGGACCTATATTGAACATTTTCTGCAGAACCTTCCAAGAAGACTGAATATCAGTTATTTAGATGGAATTCCCAATTTCAGCCTCTTTGGTGGCGAATGGGGCGGGACCTTTATATAGAAGCTATGTCAAAATATCGACCTATTTTGAACATTTTCTACTGAATCTTTGAAAAATCCTGAATACCAAATTGCAGTTATTTTGGTGAAATGCCAGATTACAAGTACTTTGGTGGGGCTAAGACTTTTTAAATGCGGCAAATGGGACATGACCTTTATATGGGGGTTATATCAAAATATGGACCTATATTGAACACTGTTTTCAAAGGTAATCAGGCAATCTTTTTAAAAATAAAAATCAGATGCCTTTCTCTATATAAAAAACTTCTAGAGAGAAATTTTCAGATGACTTTTAGAGGACCTTCTTTTATTGAAGGACCAGTAGAAGGTGTTCTTTTATGGCTGATGCATAAAGGTCTTTTATAGAAGCTATAATTTTATAGAAAACATCAGCGTTTTGCTATAGAAGACCTTGTATTTCCCTCCTCAAAGAGATCAGAAGATCTTGTAATTCCTTAGAGGCAGGGGATCTTTTTATATTAAAAAATTTGAGGTCTTCTTCTATAGTAGAAGCTGTAGAAAGCCTTCTCCTTTAGAAGACTACTAGAGGGCAATTTTCTAAAACAAGACATTCAGAAGACATTCTTCCGTAGAAGAGCCAGAGGGCGGTGTTTTTATTATTTTATAAAAAAAAAAAATTTCTTCCATAGAAGACCTAAAGAAATTGTTTTCCTATGTAAGAACTTTGGAAGATTTTCTTGTAGAGTAGGGCTACAAAAAATCTCTAGAAATTTACGAACTGTAAAAGACTTTTAGGCCTGTAGAAAACAAATAATTCTTGTCCTTCTTTAAACGCCTTTCCGCCATCAGCACTTTTGTTAACGATAACATGACTCTCTGATTATCTACGAAAGGCCCCTGCCCTTTCACTAGCCCATTCAAAAGGATTGTCCTCCAGACTGTCTCTAAAAGCCCATTGAGTTATAGCTCGCCAATAAGAAATCCTTGACCTTCAGATCATTTGTGGGCGATTTCCTGCCCTTGAGATCTTCTGAGAAATAATGCCTATCCTTCTACATTTGCGTGTAAAGACTAGCCTATCCTGATTTCTCGAAAGACTACCTTCACTTCGTCTAGAAAGACTTCCCACCTTCAGCTCTTCCTTGAAAGACTGCATGCCTCTCAGATCGAAAAACTTTCTGCATTTAAGCTCAACTATTAAAAAAAAGATTCTCCAGACTATCTCTGAAAGCCCACTGAGTTATAGCTCGCCAATAAGAAACCCTTGACCTTCACATCGTTTGTGCAAGATTCCATGCACTTCAGGTCTACTGGGAAATAATTCCTACACTTCCACTTGTCCATGTAAATATTATACCATCCCGAAAGATTCCCTTAACTTCATCTAAAAAAAACTCTCTATTTGAGATCCCCTACGAAGGACACCTTTCATATTGTCTATGTAAGCCACTCTGGTCGTTTAAGGCCCTCCATTATTATTCACTTCAACTCGTCTATAAAGGATCCTCAATCTCTCCTCAAAAGACTGACTTATAGAGATGAGTCTCTATAAGTGAGATATTTGCACTTATAGAGACTCATCACGTCTTGGAATACTCCCTTCTACCGGCCTATCAACTATTCCGACTAGGTATTTTATGAAAGACACCCTGCAATAGAGACTACTTTTAGTTCGGCTTTTTCCATCTCGTCGATGGAACTTCCCTCAAGATTTTCTATTGAGAATCCCTCCAATTTGGTCAAATAGACTTCCCCCAGTTCGATTATAGAGATTCCTTTCAGCTCGGAGGTATTCTCTTATTGTAGATGTTAGTGAAGACCTTTTCATATAGAATACCTCTAGAGAACATTTTTCTTACAAAAAACTTGTATATGACCTTCTTCTAAGGGCATCATAAGAAGGGCCAGCAGATGGTGTTCTTCTATGGCTGATTTATAAAAAAAAACAAATCGGGAATTTCTTCCATAAAAGACTTGTAGAAGGCATCTTCGATGCAAGAATTTCAGAAGTTTTTCTTCTAGAGAAGAGCTACAAAAATCTATAGAGCTGTAAAATTCTTGTATCGACGAATATAAACTTTTCTTTCAGAATTTTCTAATCAAAAAATCCTCTGGAATTTTACTTCTCTATAAAAAATTCAAGTCCTTTAAACAACTTCCCTCTATCAGCTCTTTTGTAAAATACTACACGCCTCTCAGATCGTCTACAAAAGACCCCCTAGCCTTAAGATCATCTATTAGAACGGTGTTTTGTCCTTCGGACTGTTTCTGAAATGCTGACGATTAATAGCTTGTCCTTCAGATCGTCTGTGAAAGATCGCCTGCCCTTCAGCAAGACTATCCTACCCCAACATCCCGAAAGTCACCCACACCTTATCTATAAAAACATTCTACATGAGCTAGCCCCTGAAGGTCTCCTTTCATATAATTTGGAGAAAGACTTCCTGGTCTGGGAACGATTCGAGACGGAGAATCTTTAGAGACTCTTTTCAGTTTTTCTAAAAATTCCTTTCAGGTCATCTATAGAGACTCCCTTCAGCTCGTCTATAGAGACTCCCTTAAGCTCGTCTATAGAGACTCCCTTCAGCTCGTCTATAGAGACTCCCTTCAGCTCGTCTATAGAGACTCCCTTCAGCTCGTCTATAGAGACTCCCTTCAGCTCGTCTATAGAGACTCCCTTCAGCTCGTCTATAGAGACTCCCTTCAGCTCGTCTATAGAGACTCCCTTCAGCTCGTCAATAGAGACTCCCTTCAGCTCGTCTATAGAGACTCCCTTCAGCTCGTCTATAGAGACTCCCTTCAGCTCGTCTATAGAGACTCCCTTCAGCTCGTCTATAGAGACTCCCTTCAGCTCGTCTATAGAGACTCCCTTCAGCTCGTCTATAGAGACTCCCTTCAGCTCGTCTATAGAGACTCCCTTCAGCTCGTCTATAGAGACTCCCTTCAGCTCGTCTATAGAGACTCCCTTCAGCTCGTCTATAGAGACTCCCTTCAGCTCGTCTATAGAGACTCCCTTCAGCTCGTCTATAGAGACTCCCTTCAGCTCGTCTATAGAGACTCCCTTCAGCTCGTCTATAGAGACTCCCTTCAGCTCGTCTATAGAGACTCCCTTCAGCTCGTCTATAGAGACTCCCTTCAGCTCGTCTATAGAGACTCCCTTCAGCTCGTCTATAAAGACTCCCTTCAGCTCGTCTATAAAGACTCCCTTCAGCTCGTCTATAGAGACTCCCTTCAGGTCGTCTGTAGAGACTCCCTTCAGCTCGTCTGTAGAGACTCCCTTCAGCTCGTCTATAGAGACTCCCTTCAGCTCGTCTGTAGAGACTCCCTTCAGCTCGTCTGTAGAGACTCCCTTCAGCTCGTCTGTAGAGACTCCCTTCAGCTCGTCTCTCCTGCTCATCTATATAGACTCCCTGAATAGGTCGTCTTTTACGACTACTTCTTTCAGATCATCTTTAACGACTCCATTAAGCTCTTCAATTTAATACAAAGCTTTCCCCTACACAAATCCATCAATACAACTAATAATATGTCATATTCAACAAAATTGCAAACAATAGACTTAAGACACAAACATTGAAAGAAACATCTCATTGTAGAACAGTGAAATAGAAAAACTCGAAACAAAACAAAAGACTTAAGACACAAACGTGTTGAACTGTTACAGCTGAAAGCTAAGTAACCGTAACCATCATCAGGTTAACAACAATTACGTCAGGTGTTAATTAAGAAACTTTTTTTATTTCTCGTCATCTCCCTTTCCCCCTCCCTAGCCGCTTCCCCTTCTGAGCATAATGACTGGAATTGTTTTCTAATAAAATTATGAAATACTTTCTTTGAACAAATGAAAATGATGATTTTTCTGTTTGTTGTTTCATATTGGCAAAATAATAACAATCACATTCACAAAATTTGCTATTGTTAATATTAAATGTAAATAAAGAAATTAGTGTAATGGCGAAAGTTGTTAAACAAAAAATAAAATACCAAAAAATAATAATGAAATGAAGGAATGAAAAAAAAATTAAAAACAATTTGGTAAACAGTCGGTTAATGTTTTGTTGGTGTTGTTGTTGTGAACCATCATACAGCATCATTATCAAGTGTGTGGTTGTTGATGATGGTGGTGGTGGTTATCGTTCAGAGATTCCAAATGTTAATGAAGTATGAATGTCTGGAAGAAAGATTCATCGATTGGAAAGGGAGAAAGAAAGCTTTCTCTTTCGCCCGCTATCGGCCAAGATTAAACAAAGCGGTCATTAGTAATCTGAGTGAATTTTTGAATATGGTCATGGTTGAATATCAAAGAATGTTAGTCATCCAGCCAGC